TCATCTCCACCCCTTTAGCTCCTCCCCATGCCTCTCCAACCCTGCAGATGGTCCCTTCATCCCTCCATCCCCACGACTGGTCCCTGCGTCCCTACAGCTGCTCCCGATGCCTCTCCAAACCCTACAGATGGTCCCTCCACCCCCACAGCTCAATCCCGTCCCTCCATCCCTATAGCTGGTCTTTGCATCCTTCCATCCCCACAGCAGGTTCCCGTGTCCCTCCGTCTCTCCAGCCGATCCCTTGTGTCCCTCTGTCCCCGCGCAGTGATGGTGCCGCCGTGCACCAGCACACTGGGCAGCCCGCTGCCGACCCTACCGCGTCCTTTTTTCGTAGGCTGCCCCACGCTTGCTGCTGTTCATGTAGTTCCCAAAGGCCAGGACGATCTGTGGAGACACAACGGGTCGAGGACACGGCCCTGCAGGGATGGGCCACCCCGGGGCGGGGGGCACGGTGCCTACACGCCCCCTGCATGCACCCATCCCGTCCCGACGTCCCCCCATCGTGGCCACCGCACCCCAAACTCCTCACCTCGAGGATGTTGCGCAGTTTGCTGGAGGACTTGAGGGACATGGAGGCAGCGATGATGGCGTTGAGTTGCTGTGGGTGGGAGGAGAAGCGTGTGAGTCTCGGTGCAGGATGCCACCCCCCCACGGCCCCCCCAGCCACCCCGTTTCCGTCCCCTCCAACACCCACCGGCATGAGCAGCTGGGCTGTGTCGTTGAAGTTGCCCAGGAAGATCATGACATTCATGCGCTCGACCAGGCGTGGGATCTTGCTGAAGCGGATCATGAACTGGTCTTCATCCGAGAGCTCCTCCAGCGACTGCTGCTCCCGCTCAAACTTCCCGATGAGCGTCCGCTCGTACTCGGTGGGCAGGAAGCGCAGCAACAGCTCCAGAAAGTCGAGGCTCAGGGCTTGCTGGTCATACCTGCAGGTGGTGGGAGACCCCCAGCGCAGTCAGACCCCCCCAGCAGGTCCCTCAACTCCCCGTCACCCTTGGCTGGTTCCCATCTTCCTCTGTACCCAGCTGGTCCCTGCATCCCTCCATCCCCATGGCTGGTCTCCATCCTCCTCCATCCCCATGGCTGGTTCCCTTCCTCCTCCATCCCCACGGCTGGTCCCTCCATCCCTCCATATCTCTTCCCTCCATCCCCACAGCTGGGTGCCATCACCCCTCCAACCCCAGCGCACCCTCTGCCTTCCCATCCCCTCGGCATAGCTGGGCTCCCGCCCGATCTTCTCCCATCAAGGAGGGGACACTCACGTCTCGATGGCTGTGCAGATGTCCTGGATGCTGCGGCCGCCCTTGCGGAGGGTGATGGCCAGGTTCTTGGCTCGGTTGGACTCCATGAGAGTGACCTTGCTGGGAGCCTTCTGCGTGGCCTTCACTTTGAGGGCACTGATGTCCAAGCCGGGACCCTGCGCCTTGGTCTTGAACTGCTCCTCAAAGTCACTCATGTCCAGCTCCTGTGGGGAGATTGGGCTGAGGGCACGGCGGGGAGGTGACACAGGACATCTGGGACGAGGATGGGGCCAGAGGACCGGGACAAGGAGGAGAAGAGTGAGAGGATGAGGATGGAGCAAGGGGACAAGGAGAGGGACAGGACAAGGGGACAGGGAGGGGGTAAGGAGGGGATGAGGGGACCAGAGGATGAAGGTGAAGAAGAAGACATGGACAGGATGTGAAGATGAGGATGGAGCAAAGAGACCAGGATGGGGGAACAGGAGAAGTAC